TCATTTTCTTCACGTAAAAATGCATGAACAATAACTATAATATTCATGTCAGCCTAAATAATATTTTAAATAAAAGTTTCATATTGATATGATATTAGTGCTTTAATGAATTTAATAAATTATATTTAAAAGAATACTTTAACAAATAAATAAATATTACTTTTTTTCTAAAAAATGAAAAGTTAGTAGGTAGTTAATTAAAACCGATTTTGATTAGTAATGTTTAACTTCTGCAAATTTTCACATAGAAAATTTCTTATAAAAGACAATGCTTTTAAATACTATTTTTCTATTTATTTTAATAATCTTATTAATGTCATACGCATAAAAAATAGAGGACTTTAAGTTTAATTCAACTCCATAAAATTGTTTATAAAATAAGGTATGCATCATTTATTTGTCTGACTTCCAACAACATTGGTCAATTTAACAAGAATGTGATTTGATGCGAAAAAAAACCATTATTTATTTTTCTACCAATAAAATAATATAAACTTTAAATATTGAATAACTGTTTATTGCCAACAAGGTGAAATTTTCTTTAACAAAAATGTTCCGTGACTGTGATTTGGTTCACATTATCAAGATTCTTTAATTAGTTATGAGATATAAGATTCTATCTTTTTGTGAAATTGCATTTCACACACAACAAATTAGTTAAAAAGAAAAATCTTTTATCCATATCAAATCACTCTAATTTCATCTTTTATCTATATTTTTAATTTAATTATCTTAACTTTCGATCTATTGAAAAAAAAAATCTTTTTACCTACATCTTTAAGTTAAATATAATATATAAGAAAAAGAAGAATAAGATTTACGAGATTAGCAACCTCTTATTAAGATTAGCAGAGAAAACCAGAATTAGCGAGTAATTTCTCAGTGCAATCACAATGTGTTCCAACGAGAGAAAAAGGTTTATGGGAGCTCTATTCAAAACAAATGGAGGTTGTGGATGTAGCAACCCTAAATCCTATGAAGTACTCCAACCCTCCCCAAAACTCAACACCTCAATTCGAGAAAACACAAACCCTACCACTTCCGGCGACAAAGACAACAAACTCTTCTTCGAAGTTCGCACAAACCATGAAAACCCTAACAACGACAACATTCGAAAACCAAATTCAAAACTCATTGACAGTGTGGCGGTTGAGAAGGATTCGAAGGACCCGCACAAGGATTTTCGAGAGTCCATGCTCCAAATGATCTTCCAGAGACAAATCTTCACCAAAACCGATCTTCAAGACCTTCTCGAGTGCTTCCTCCGCTTGAACGCCGCCTGTCACCACCAAGTTATCGTTCAAGCTTTCATGGAGATTTGTCTCGAAACGTTCCCCAATAAGAATATCAACGCCGCAGACGCCAATGCTGCTTCTTTCAATAACAAAATTTGATGCATTTCTTCTTTATAGTGTAACCCTATCATTCATCTGTGTCATGCCACAGTTCATTTAATTCATTGTGCATCAATGTTACAGTTTTTTCATATATCATGTTACTCCTGAAAATACTATAATAAACAGATCTCAAATTTTGATCCAAGTAGTTTTCTTGTTATAAATATTCTATCAAATTAGGGCTGTACAAGGGTGTGTGTGATTCATCTTTTTTTCTGTAATTTAAAATTTAAATTTAAAGTTTTTAATTTTTGTAATATATATATATATATATATATATATATATATATATATAATATTATAAATTTGTCTAAAATAATAAAAAGATAATATTTAAACAAAATTTACGTTAAATTAACTTTTTTAGATGTTTTAATTGAAATTTTCTGTTTAAATTAATTTACAAAAATAAAAAGTTAAAAGAATTCATTTTACTTTGAATTTATTATTTTTTTCTAAATTTCTTACGAGTTAATATCTCAATCCACTTCTAGTTGCATGGATGAAAAGATTTAGTCTGTTAAACAGAATTTTGAATTAGTTAGTTTTATCAGAGTTATTCAGTTTTTTTTAATGGAAGTTATATATAATTTAAGATACTAGAGAGATATCATGAGAAGAGAAATATCAAATGTCACGAGTCATACGAGGGTGTTGCTCCTTCCACCACCACACCTTTCTTCGTACATGAGTAAAATACTTTTCTTTCATTTTAACATTATAGAGAGTGCCGTGGAGTGGTGCAGTGTGTGTCGTGCTTCCTCGTATTCGAATAAACACAACATCTTTCCGTTGAAGATGTCACCTGTTGATGTATACTTTCTCACACTGCTGGTTGTCGACATCCGTTTAAGGAAAAACGGATGTCGACATCCGTTGAAGATGTCACCTGTTGATGTATACTTTCTCACACTACTGGTTGATGCTCTGGACGCTCCTCCACACTACAGCGGCGACACTCCTTTATACCGGCAATGGAAGCTTTCAAACCAAAAAAAAGCTGGAAAGAAAAAGAAATGGAAGTGCGGGAGCTGAAACTGAAACGAAAATGAGAAAGGGGGAAGAAAAATTCCGTGGGTGGGTGCTACACCCATAGTACGATGCTCCTGTGACCACGTCTTTCGCAGTATCAGTTTTGCGTTATAAAATTTTTTGTAAGACACTCAAATAATTAGCTTTAGATTGGTATCATTCTTCTGATTTTAAGAAATTTAAATTATTATATTTAAATTATTTATATTTATTTTAATTTTTTAAAACGTTTTGTTTAAACCTAATATAGTTTATATTTTAATTTTTTTAGATAAAGTATTGATTTTTTTTGTTAAATATTGTCTCTGAATAGATAATTTAACAATTTTTAATATATTAAATTTGAATTGATTTCTTTTAAAATTATATTATTTTTAAATGTTTTTCTGGATAAAATAATTTAAATATAATCAATTTTATTTATTTCTAAATACAACAATTTTGCAGACATAAAATAATTGTTAATAATTTAAAAATATCAAAATCAATTATTTTTTATACTCGATCTTTATTAATGTTATTTTAATTTCTTTTATTGAGTATTCAAAGTCATTATATCTTTTAATCATTATATGTTTCGAATATATATATATATATATATATATATATATATATAATATTTTTTTCATTAAGTGAAGTGACTTGAATATTTGATTTTTAGTTTCAAACACAATATCACAATAAAATTATGTCATTGTTTATTTTTTAATTAAATACTAAAACAAAGATACAAAATAATGTCATTTGATAAAATTGGTTAAGATTTCAAAGTTTATTTATTTTTATCTAATAAAATCAAATGTCAGGAAACTCAATTAAAAAATATAAACAAATTAGATACTTAATATAATATTTTTTTAATAAAAACTCAATTAAATGTTATTTCGGTTTATGCATTCAAAAATATGAAAGTTTTAGATAATAACATAATGAATCTTTTTAATGAAGTCGCAATTAATAAAAAAAAAAATTATAAAAAACTTAAAATTTAATTATATAATTTTTTCACGTAAAAATACTTGAACAATAACTATATAATATTCACATCAGCCTAAATAATATTTTAAATAAAAATTTCAATTTTGATCTGATGTTAGTGATGTAATGAATGTAATAAATTGTATTTAAAAGAATACTTTAACAAAAAATATTTTTTGTTTACATTGTAATTCCAAAGATTAAAATGAAGAGTATGAGAAAAGAAAAAAAGGAAAGAAATTAGTTTTTATTTTGTCTTATACATTTATTTTACGTCACTTAATACATATTTTTCCAATAATATATGGGTAATTAAATATATTTAATCCATCAAATTTAATATAATATTAAAATTTGATAATTTTAATTTTCAAACTTTAAAAATAAAATATATATTATTTTAATGTAATTTGTTAATTTTTTCATGTGTGAAACGTATTTTATGTGAACATTTAAATTTTTTCACCGTTGGGCACAGTGTGAATGTTTATGTAATTAAGTTAAAATAATTAAATTTATTTATTTTTAAAGTTTAGAACAAAAATGTGTAAGTTTTGGACAAGAAGAAATTTTAATTTTACTTCAAAAGAAACTAAAAGCATACATAATACTAAAGAATTTGTTTTTATCATTAAAGAATAATTACATACTTAATTATTGTTATACTTGAATTTGAAATTGGAGAAATTGGAGGAAAGTTGAGAAAGGTGGTTGAAGGTGGAGGGTGGTGGAGGAAACTCAACGAAAAACATAAAATAAAGAGTTATAAGATAAAGATGAATAATATTCTGACATCTACACTTTCAATTCATTAATGAGACATGTTATCACTATCAATTCATTAGCTATTTTAGGTCATCCGACCTGATTTTAACATACCAATAAGAATATTTAAGGTCTATAGTGAGATTCAGATAAAACTTTTCTCCGACCACATTGGATATGTTTCTTACGCGAAGCCAAACATCATACCAAGAGATCCTAATATTGTTGGTAGATTGGATACTAATATTCAAAAACTATTTGCATGACAAAGTCCATTAAAACTAGGATTCAAATCATCCTATATCTAAATCAAATTTATTTTGAAAATGACTTTGCCTTTTCATAAAATACATGCAGAACAAAAAACAACAATCCATAAATGCATAAATGCAGAAATTACTACCTTACACTTCACATCTCAGCCATATTATAACTATGCATCATCATAATAAAACAACCCATATAAATGTATTTCACTTTTCTAGGACTCAAATAAAAACAGATATGAATCGTAGACCAATTTTTCAAGAATCAAATCCAAACAAAAGAGATCTATAACGTATCACTTATATCTTTATTATATATATACATACTAAATAATAAATACAGAGTTAAAGTATTAATTAAATCACAGGTTCAGAAACTGAAGTGAATTATCCTAATTTATTAAAAAGAAAACAAAAGTGAACCAATGCCATCCCATGCTTGTTTCAAGTTCCAAGTTCCAAGAGCCAACGCATGGCATGGCGTGCGTTTCAAGTGTCAAATTTCATCCTCTTCATCAACCGTGTAAGACAAGATTGATGAGTTTGGCAGTTTCCGAATCTATAATTAATTTATCCAGTAAATAAAATAAAGAATAAAATATTTATTTATATATATCATTTTTCTTTTTTCATTTTGAGTCCCTCAACTAGAGGAATACGCAAGCTCCAATCCAAACAAAACACCGGCATGTTTCTGGGGCCCATCCTCCGAGAAATAAATATCCCTCATTCTCTTAAACGCATGCCACGTCAGCAAGCTATCGGACCCGGCCTGGTGACACTTCCCAACGGCCCGGTCCACGTTCAGGGTTAGCGCCAGCCGGTCCAAACCGCCATACAGGCTGTCACAGAACCGCATCATGTGCTTGATGTCATAAACATTTTCTCCAAAAAACGCTTTCAAAATCTTCAAGAAATCCTTCAACCCATGGGGCAGGCTCCGTCGGGTCAGAATCTTAACTAAATACCCGAAATCATACGCGCTATGAAACGTCACCCAACTCACCGCCTCGTTACACACCAACCCCGATGACATCATCAGTTCTGCGAAAAGCCACGAGTCGATGCCTTCCGCCGCGTTGCGCCCGAAGTCGATCCCCTGACGGCGGAGAAGATCGATCGAGTCCGGCGCGTGGGAATCACGCTCCACGTTGAAATCGCGGAAGTTAAACTCCCATATGAAACGGTTACTGGTCCCGAGGTGGGGCAGGTTACCGTCTGCATCGGAAAGCGTGAGTCCCACCTGGATAAGGTTGAGGACATCAACGTTGGATTTGAGGAAGCTGTAATGCTCGGAGGGTTTAAGATGGCGGCGGGCGGGTTCCGCCGGAGCCACCACTTGGGGGAGGTAAATAACTCCAGGGAATTCCGTGTCCATGGACACAAAAGGGTAATCGTCGATTACGTCGCGAAGGATCTGAAACTCCGATTGAAGGTTGGAGGCCCAGACCTCACGGATCAGGATCCGATTGGGTTGGGAATGAGAAGAGTCTCGGTCGAGCACACCCATCTGGAATCGCTTCTGCAACAAGACAAGGAAAAGGAGGAAGAAGGAAAACAAGGGTTTTTTTGTTTGCGATGAAATCATGAAGGGGAAGTTTTATATGGAAGAAAAAGGGGATGATGGATGGTGGCTGGCGATGTTGCTTCGAAAGTGGGGAACGTGACAGTGAGTGTGTCTGTGAAGCGGTGATCGTATAAGCTGTGGGGAAGTGGAGGTGTATATATATAATATATATAGATATAGATTGGTGTTATGTGAAGAGTGCATAACTGTTATATTGAAGTTCAAAACGTTCAGAAAATTTTGAGTCATCCACCTAATACTTTGTGCCATTGCTGGCACCATTGAACCGCCTGGTCCATATACTCCTATTCCTGTTCCACTTTTTTTTCTTTTTTTTTATATGTGTCACTTACACTTCATCCTCCTTCAACTTTTTTGGTAAATGCTCAAAGTTCAGACATCCAGGAATGCTTTTTTAGATTTAACAAATTCTTTCAGTAATACTTTTTCATTCTTTTTTACTGAAATCATTCACAGATTTTATACTTTTTATGATTTTTTTTTATATTTTTATAAATTGCATGATATATTTTTAGAAATTCAAATGTTGTTACCTTAAATGTCTTTTAAGTGATTAAAAGTAAAGGAACTTTTGTAGAAAAATAATATTGACACGTCTGAATCTTAATTGCTAAGGTTTTATTATTATGTTATAAATATAGTTTGTAATAAATAAAACTTTAAGTATACAAGTTATTTTATATATTTATAATATAAAATTATTTACATGTTTTTCAGAAATTACTAAAATTTAATTTTGGGATGGGAATTGTACTGTACCCTCCAAGCTTCCAACCAAGTGATTGTGTATGTTCTTGATTCCAATCCACAAGTGAAACCATATATTTGAAAAGAACAATTAGTGGCCTTAATCATAATTTATCCCTAATTCATCACAATTACAGTTTTTCTCAAAATGATATCGTGTGATAACGGGAAATGGTGATTTTTTATGTGTATCCTCCTTAATTTAAACTTTATAACAAAAATTACATTTATATAGTAATTTTCACAGAAGTAATTTAAAAAGTAACATAGTTTTAATTAAACATTTAATTGTAGCGTCTATTAGTTTTTACAAAAGAATAGTTTAAACCAGTAATAATGTAACACTATGTTATTATTTATAGTCGTAAAATTTTATATTATAAGATTTGTTAAAATTATTTTTATTGGTGGATAACTATAACATGCCAAAAAATACAGTATATAAACTATACAAGGGAATAATAACATATTAATAATATTTCAGATCAGTCTTATAAAAGATGAGACGTACGCTTATGGTCGAATGATCTTACAAGACAACGAGGAAATTAAAACTGTACAAATATGCAATCTAGACCGAACGATTTACAGAAGACGTACCGAACAGTCTTACAAAAGAAGAAAACAACAGATGACCGAACGATTATCACACAAAAAAACTAACTACTGACCGAACGACTCTACTGTTCGGTCTTAACTTCTACCTCGACCAAATTTTCTTCCTTCAGCGCCTCTTCCAGCAAAGCTTCTCCTTCTGCTCACATCCACACAGATGATCATTGCAACAGAAGGACAACCACCGAACGTACAAAACGGACAAGATAAGAAATAGGGTAAGCTTATGTACTTTAATTCAATTATCAACATATATCTCACTCAATCAATTTAAATAAGATAACTCATTAACTCTTTCATGCTAAGCCTAATACTAGTCTCTTACTTTCCGGACTGTATGAATTCTGTGTATTTACGACGTTCTTGCACCCGGGTGATGTAGTAACTGGGATACCCTCAACAGCTGCCACTCGAGGTTAGTCCGTTCCGTCCAAATTAACCATAAGGACGAGGACCTCCTGTCATTCCCACACATGACTTACCCTTCTCTACGTGAGAAACGAGTAATCACGGAATATCAGGATGAACCTCTAGCTTAGCGTGCCCACATTCATACTTTACCATTCCAATATCAAATCATGAGATATTCCTTCCCGGAACACTCTTCCATAACCAAAGTCATTTCATCCATATCGTATTCTATCATCTTTCATTATTAAAACCTCAACTAAACCAATTTGAATAATGATCCCTTAGGATACCAAATACCGCACGTTAGTTTTTAATCCAGAACAAGATCGAACACTTGGAGTGAGGCCGAGATGTCTCCAACTCAAACATAATCAAATTGAGAGAGTTACTCACTAGTTGTGAAAAGGACCGAATATAATAATACTTCTCAGAGACTAATATAATCGAATGTTGTTTACCAAGTGAGCCAATTTAATGAACTGACTCTTGAAAGTTCAAACCGAACACCGTAAAGCCTAGGCCGAGTACTAGGACTCTAGGCCGAGTACTAGGACTCTAGGCCGAAACCAATTGAGATAGGTACTTTATGACACCAAATAATAGTACTTGACGGAATCATATGAAGAAACCGATCGCCAATAAATACTTAGCTTCTTAATGAGCTAAACTTCAAGGAAACCGAATGTCAGTTGAAGACTGAGCACTGTAGAGAGCGAACTCTATGGAGTTTGGACGAACGCTCTTATTATAAAGATAGATTACGGAAACGAGAATGAGCGCCTGGTGTAAGACCGAACACTTATTTTGTACGAGCGTTTGGTTTAAGACCGAGCACTACTTAGTACGAGTGCTTGGTGTAAGACCGAGCACTACTAAACTTATAGAAGAAAGGCTTGATAAATATAATAAGATATCATTTAAATAGTGTTCACAAACGAACGAAATATACAAATACATATAGATATACTTAAGTTTACCATCAAACACCAATGAACGAATATCCTTGGTTGAAAGCTTATATACAGATATTACAGAACGAAGACGCTCGGTCCTCAACTGGAATTCTTTCCAAATGAAAGAATCCAGTTCCAACCGAGTCCACAGGAAAACCCAACGGTCAAAGATCTTCAGTGACGAACATAAATTTTTACATAAAACTCTAGACTTAAAATTCATAATGTTATCAATATATTTCTCAACTGTTCACCTGTCTTTTACTTTCTAATTTCCAGCTTCTCTTACTCGACATTTGTCTTTCATACAAATGGGGTTTTTAGTATGTTTTTAATGTTAGAATTTATAACAAATGATTTTTTCATATTCGATACAGAATCCTAATGGCACGAGAGAGTAAATTTTAGGGAACGGAGAAGGAAAATAAATAAATAAAAATATCACAACCATACTTGTTTGGATTGAGAGTAACAGTGAGAAATGTGAGGAAGTGAAGAGAAAATTTAAAAAGGATGGTAGATCATTTGATCAATATATTAATATATTTAAATAATAATTTTTAAAATAAATTAAATATACAAATACATTTAAAAAATATAAATTTAAGTTAGAATATTAAAAGAAATTATAAAAATTTAAATAAATTAATATTTTCAATATTAATTATTTTAATTAATTATGATTATTATATTAGTAGGTACGGTAAAAGGGTAACCCTTTTTTCGCAAGTTTTTCTCAGAAAGTTTAAAAATTATGCATTGATTTTTGTACATTTAGCATCGATTTTCCCACTTTCATAGTATTTTCACACCTCTGTCTTTCCGTTCTTAAAAACAGGAGTTAAAAATTCATTGATTGGGTGTGAGGTTTTTTTAATATTTTACTTAATATTTTATTTAATGCAGCACTTTCAATTCAATTTTAATTTTTTAATAACTTTTTATCAAAAAATTCTCTTTTTTTTCCTATTTCTTTCATAAAAATACAACTTTATATATTTACCTTATTTATAATGTGATTATATTTATTAAATATTATTTATATGATTATATTATATTTAGGGTTACTTTATTTATTACGTATTTTGTATATTTATTCTAAGATTATTTGAGAGATCAATCTAGTCCTCTAAATTTTCAAGTTAGTATTAGAGCGGGTTGATCTTGGTTTGGTTTCTGTCTCGTAATATCTGTTTGGTGACTGGTGTTGTTTATCGTTGTTCGTCCTCTTCAACGCTATCAGCCACTACTCTTCATTGTCCGTCGTTGTTTGCCGCCGGTCGCCATTACAATTTTGTCCGACGACCAACAAATTTGGTTCGTCTCTCCGAGCGACGATCACCCCGTCGATGTCGGGGTCTAGTTCTCCTCCACGTGTCGCCACACACTCCATTTTTGTGCGTCATGAACAGACACGTGAACAGTACATGTCGCGCCCTCTACTGTAGGAATCATTGTCGCGAGACCTCCACAACGGTCGTCAATCCTTCCTCTCCCAGTTTTGACCCTCAAAACTCCTCTTCGAAAGGGTCACGTAGCCTCCCTTGAGGAAAGTGGTCTAAACCCAAAGGGTTTTTTTGTTTCTCGCTGTTGCATTTTTTTTTTCTTCAAAGATGGCAGTGCTCTTTCATTCTCTAGAAGTCTGTCAATTACTTCCGAGAAGCTAAATGGAAAAATTATCTATCGTGGTTTACTACTGTTGAAACGTGGTTCCTTGGCCAAGGGCATTATGACCACCTTGAGCGAGATGGAAGTCATGTGCTTGCTAAAAAAGTTGATCAACGGTAACAAGTAGATTTCCAGTTGTGTGCCCTGTTATGACAATCAGTGGAACCCAAACTTTTTATATCTTTGAGAGCTTTCAAAACTTGTTACTCCTTTTGGAAGAAAGCTCAAAGTAATTATGCAATGATATTCAACATTTTATGACACGACAAACAAGCTCACATGTCTTAAAATGACAGGCCATGATATGGTGTTCTTCATGACTGAAGCCAAATCTATTGTTGAAGAACTAAGGATGTTTTTGGAAACATACTCATTAGAGGATAACAAGAAGAAATTAGAAAAATATTACATGGTCTTGATCCTTCGTTCCCTACATCCAGATTTTGATCATATTAGAGATCAACTTTTGACTAGTCATGAGGTCCCTTCCATGGAAATATTGACCACTCGTCTTCTGCGTGTCCCGATACCTCAAATTCAGGAAGCGCATGAACTAGTGGAACCATCTGTCATGGTTGCCACACAAGGAAGAGGAAGACGTGGCACTAGAGGAGGAGGAAGAGAAGGTCGAGGACGTCTTTAATGCACATACTATAAAATGATGGGTTACAATCAATTGAATTGTTACTTCTTACATGGTCTCTCTTCCAAAACCGCCAATATTTTGAAGATTGAAACCTCCACTTCTAACTTCATCGAGGATAAATGTCAAGAGTATTTAAGGTTAAAGTCTAACAGTGTGGCAAAGCCATCTTAATCTCTAAGTACATCAACAACTTGCATCTCTCAATCCATGGAAGGTCAAAATT